CAGGAATGCCAGGAGCCACCAGAAGCTGGAAGAAGTGAGGGAGATTCCTGCCCTAGAGCCTTCACAGAGATCAGGGTCCTGTCCACACCTTGATTTCAAGTGTCTACACTCCAGAACTGAGACAGAATAAATTTATGTTGTTTTTAAGGCACCAAGGTTCACAGTATTTACAATGAATCACAGTGTTTCACCAACAGCAGGGTCAGAGAACCAGATGAAGTGGAGAAAAGGGGCAGGCCATGGAAGACCAGCCCTGCTTTATACTGGCAACTGAGCCACACTGACTCATGGTCGTCGCACATTAGTCAGTGTGATGACCTTTTTTGAGATCACACACACCCATTGGAGAAGGGAAGCACGCCTGCTGGGTGGATCCTGAATCTAGGGCTGAACACAGTGCAAACTATTCCCGCCCCTCTCAACTCTGATGGAAAGTCTCCAGGCCCTCAACCTCATGGAACAGCCTTCACGGAAACTTGAGGCCAAGTTGGGAAGAGGCCTTTGCAGCCACAGTGAACTCTCAACTACTTGGGCCTCGGGAGAGAAAACAGAGTAAGCAGATGTTTCTTCAAAATGGCATGTTCTTGGACCTAGTTTTATTTTAGCTATTCCTTCCCACAGCTGTTGAACCAAATCTGAAGGCAATGAACACATACATACACACCCAGTGTTTTTGCCTCCTTAATCCATTTTTGGGGAATGCAGTTCCACATGTGGACTGGAGCTACCACTGTTTCTATCCATTCCTCCTGCAAACCTGGCTGTCTTCACAGTCTGGGACCGCATTCAGTATCTTCCTGCCTCTCTTCCTATGGCTGAATATCTAGGAAGTGGTTCCAGTGCTTTACTGTTGTTTTAACATGAAATTTCTCAACAGCTCCCAAATAAACAGGCTTGGAAGATCTAACTTGGAACCCTAGTGGGAACATCGTGGGTGCCATTCAGGGCGCCTCCTGAGAAGAGCTCTCTAGGGCTCTGGGAGATAAGGAATGCATTAGGGGGACAGGCAGGGGAGTACCAGCCACCAGACTTTGAGGGCTGTGATATGACCACTTGGACTTTGAGCTGCCCTTTGACTGGGTCACATCTGTCTTACCAGTGGCTTTTCTAGGGATGTGCTTTTCCTGAGCCAAAACTCGAGTCCCGAGGTGTCCTTGGGCTGATGATTAAAGGCTTTTTGATCAGGCTCTGAGAACTCCTCCTCCTCTGTGTTGAGAGGGTGGGAGTCCCATTCTCGCATTTTACCCCAGTCAGTGCCACCATAAGTCTGCACCCAGAGCTCTGTAGTAGACTAACTGGCTTATTTCCATTCTTATTCTCTTCTTGGTCACTTTATTTTAAAATCTGAGGTAAAATTCATATACCATTAAACTAACTTTTTTGTTTTCTTTTGTCATAGGGTGCTTGCCAGAGAGACAGAGAGAGTGAAAATGAGAAATCACCCTCCAGGGGAAATGGCCACACCACAATCCCCTCTCCCCAACCTTCCTCTTGTGAGAATGCCTGTGCACATACCCCTAGCATGATTTCCAAGCCTCTGATTCTGGGACTTGAACTGCACTTGGCCATGTAAAAATCCAGTGTCTTAACTACCACACCAGCAGCTGGGCCCAGAATGAACTATTTTAAAGTAAAAACTTTAGTGGCACTTATTAAACTGCTGTGCAACCACCTCGTCTATCTAGTTTCAGAGCAGTTTTACCACTTGACAAGAAAATCCTGTACCCATTAAACAGCAAATCCCCATTTCCCTCCTCTTCCCCACTCTGACAACCACCAATCTGCTTTCTGTCAATATGATTTTACCTATTCTAGATATTTTAGATAAATGGAATCATACATTATGTGTGGCCTTTAGCAATTGGTTTCTTTCACTTGGCATGTTTTCCAGGCTTATCTATGTTGGAGCTTGTGTCACTGTTTAGTCATTGCACTGTAAGGATTCAGCACATTTTGTTTATCCATTTATCCATGGATGGACATCTGGGTTGTTTCCACCTCTAGATGCTATGAATACAGCTACTATGAACGTACACATACTCATGCTCATTTGTGCATTCCCATCTATTCTTTACATTGCAGTTGGAGCCATTCACATGATACCCCGGCTGCAATCACTTTGATGGCTTACAACCACTCTCAGGATAAAGCCCAAACTCCTGAGTGTGACTCTCAAGGCCTTGATGCTTCAGCCCTGCCCACTTCTCCAGCATCATTTCTCAGGCCCATGCTGCTGCTCAGCTGATTTTTCTGTTCCTTGCAATGTGCTGTGCTTGCCTTCACCTCTGAGCCTCTCTGCAGGTTCTGCTTGCTCCCTCCCTCTCCCTAGAGCCTTCTTCCTCTGGCTGCATTTGACAGAAGTCACTTCCTCATCTCTTGAATACAATTACACATACTAGGTCCTAGCACAGAGTCAACCCTGGCTCCTCTGCGTTCATGGGAAGAGGCTGTGGTAGAATTTCCAAGGCCTGGCTGGACTTGTGAAATCCCATGGAAGAGTGACCACAGCGCGGAAACACCTTGGGGGAGGGTAGTCTCTGACTTGTGCCCTTTATCTTCGCAACACGTCTTGCCGCAAGGCGTGAATGTGGTTCCGTGGATTCAGTGTCCTGATGTCTGACAGAGTGAAGAGACAAGCTGCAAGACCAGCCAGTCGTCGTCCTCCAGTGGGACTTCCTGATCTATCAGCTCAGCTCAGCTCACCTTCTCCACCCTGGAATGTGGGAGTGTGCCAGGCAATCTACTTTCTCCAGCCATCTTGTTGACAGCCTCCAGGCCTGTGAGAAGTGGGGCAATGACTCCCTCTGAACTCTGGTCCCGGGATTTGACAGTCTCTTGCCCAAGAATATCCTGCTCAGCCCAGACGTAAAAGCTTCTGGGAAGCTGCTGAGAAAGCAAGGAACCAAGTTCTCTGGTACTGGCACGAGGTGGTCACACCTGAACTTCACAGGCTTCTGCTCAGCCTGGCCACTGGGTGCTCTGTGTCACACAGAATGTGGCTTATGAAGGGTGGGGAAGTCTATGCCTTTCTCTCTCACTAACCTTTTCTTCCTTAGCTTTGATTCTGAGCATGGTTCCCTGAGTCTGTACACCCCTGCACACACGTACAAGCACACACACATGTGCCCATGGCTCTGATGCCTTCTCATTTCCTCTTCTAACTTCAAAAAAAAAAAAAAAGTCTGAAATAACTTTTCCTTCCACATAATTTCCAACAGAACCTTTATCATTCTTATTTTCCCCTTCAAACTCTTCATCATTCCAATTCCACATAAACATTTATCTGATAAAATCCACATCTGAGGAAAGCACAGCACTTTAATTCTAAGACACTAGTCCTCTATTACCGCTTTCTTTCATAGATGAAAAAAAAAAAAAAGATGGAAACGATAGAAAAAGGGGCTCTTTTTGTTTGTTTCTGAGGGCCTCTGAGGAAAAGGATGGGGCCCCCTGTGTCACTTACCTCCAGGACCTTTCCTGTGATAAACTGCTGACATGCTTCGCATTTCACCCCAAAGAGCCCCTGGTAGTCCTTTTCACAGTAGGGGGCGCCATCCCTGCAATAAAAGAGCAGGTTTGGCACCTGAGAGGAAGCAGTAGAGGTGGGAAAGACATCAAAGCCACCTTCTCCACAGCACGGTAGCAAAACATGCTTCTCCCCCAGCCAGCATTCACATGTCTGGAGACCTGGCCAGAAAGGATCAAGACCACAGATGGAAGGATCCAGAGGGAGCCCTGCATTTCTCTGGGCCACACAGAAAGAGCAGTCAAATGGCCATAAGAACTCCATTGCTGATTACTTGATTGTCTCAGAACTAACTAGCAGAAATCCTGCTATTATTCTCTTCACTGCCAGCCAGAGCGGCTTCAGATGTGGACTCAGTGTTGATCAACACCTGACAGGGACAACCATGTCGTGAGTACAAATGTGCTCGGGACCAGTGGCTCCCGACAGCCCTGAGTCCAACAGTCCACAGCTCTCAGGGGCCTGAGGTGGCAGCGCCTTCTCCTCCAGGTCAAGCGGCCTCTTCCATTTACCTCAGAATATGGTAAAAATACCGTTTTCTGTGTGCATTGCATGGAAAAGTTAAAAAGCACCACTGTGGCAGCCCAGCCACCTCCTACAGCACAGCTTTCAGTATTAATTTAAAAGCCAGGGATTTCTCTCTTCCTACTTGTCTGTCCATCATAATCACCTGGGGAGAAATTTTTTCTTTTCTAATACAGGTGATACAGCTTTACCCAAGATCTATGGAATTAGATTTCCATGGAGAAAGATCCAAGCTACCTTTATTTCTATCTTGAAATTATATTCATAATTTTGTTCTTTTTGAGTAAGTAATTTCACATGATTGGGGAAAGGAATACAGTGGAACATTTTCCTCACAGCCAGGCTACATTTTTAAAAATCTTCATTTACTGACTTAACTAGCTATTATCCACAAGAGCTCTCTGACTGGTACATGGACTCATTCCCTGGCAGATTCCTTTGTGCACTCGTTCTGGGTGGGCTTTGTGCCTAGGCCTGTATGGTTTGTTGGGTCAGGAGAGCTCTATAAATATGCCCAAGACCAAATATGCTTGTTACTTCCACACAGACAAAAAAAAAATCTTAAAGAAAAATTAGTACACACCTAATTGGTTACAATATACAATGTCACACTGTCGGTTTCATTAATGTTAGATTAGGCAATAATGAACATTTCATTAAGTTTATAGTAGCCAAATTATGGTAAAAGCAAAAGGCTACAATTATTTTCAGAAGATTTGTAGCAAAAATGTCTTACTGATTCCGAATGTGAGTGTATTTTGGCATGTTGGGTGGGATATGGTAGAGCCCCTGAGAGCAGGGCCTACCGAGGACCCACACGCCCTCAGACCCACTTAAGCATCTGCACACTCTCCGCCCAGTCTTACTTGCTGATGTACTCCCCGGTGAGGACCTTCCCGCAGGATCTGCATTTAAAGCACCCCAAGTGCCACTGCTTATCCAGCGCCAGCAGGGCCTGCCCGTTCTTGATGTCTCTCCCGCAGCCAGCACAATCTGGAAGAGAGTAGCAGTCAGCAGTTACTACATGCTCGCTTCGCCACATCCGAGCATGCAGGCCAGCTGACCCGCTGCACACCCATCGCACACTCCATAATATTTACACAAGCACCATTTTATTCCACTCTTCCTGAACAAAATCTTTTCCAGCAAGGGCTCTTAGGCCCCATCCTCACAGCAGGGCAGCTTCATGAACCTCAGTGGATCTAAGCAGGTGGATGTCCTTCACCTGTTCTGTTCCTTGGGAGTCCTTTAAGTACTCTCTGAGCTCCAGCTGGCTCAGAGAATATTTAATTATAGTGTCTTGGCTGTGATTTCAGGCCTTTATTATTTGAGGGCACATGTGAATGGCTAAGTATCTCATGCTGGATGCCTCTCTTAGCACAATATATGTGATTCCTGGAGAGCTGCCCATAAATCCCATTTTTATACATGGGACTCTACTTTCTTATCAACCCAAACCAGCATGGGACTCTACTTCCTTATCAACCTAAACCGGCCTTTCAAAGACTTGTGATTGCCAATTAAATGTATTGTAACTCCTTAGCTTTAAATTTTCCTTGGCAGGTTCCTAAAAAGGCAGCTGGAGGGGAAAAGTATTTCTTCATGGTAAGGCATGTGTGCATTGGAATTAGATGACCTCGTCCTGAACCCAGCTCAGTGTCTTGTTGGCAAGCTACATGACCTGGACAATGTGTTTCTAAGCTGTGGTTTCCTCCTATGGAAATAAGGATGTTTTTAATATGTGTTTCAAGTCTCTGATGAAGATTTAATGGAATAATGATTTTATAGCACAGTGGTTGGCACATAGGAATTGGCTCCATAAACACTTGCTATTATTATAATGGCCACTACTATTTTGATTATTAAATCCTACTTCGTGTTAGGGAAGTTGAGCAAAACAACTCGGAAGACTGTGACTTGGCCCCAACCTTTTGGAAAGTAGTATGTGCAAACATTTGAAAATCAGTGAAAAATCTAAATCAAAATGAAAGCAGGTTTTGCTAGCGGAATTGGCCATGATGTCCCAGATGATCATACAAAACACTCAGGGATAAAGCCACGTCCAGACAAGGCCACTCAGTGGCTACATTTGGAATAAGATGGAGACAAGGCTCCTCTGTACACAATGATTAAACATCCCCCTCTTCTGACCACGTCTGCGACTGCTGCTGCCTTACTAAGGATAGGTCGAGCTCAACGTTCTCTTCCTAGAAAAACACTGACCTGCTTTTCTTTCTTTTTTTATGTTAATTTTTGCCAGGGGGTACATGTGTTTGGTGGGGGGAGTGGGAAAACACGCCTCATGGGACACTGGTCATGTAGCAACCTCTTCTCCATCTTCCATCTCCTTCTTTTGGGATGTAGAGCATGCATACATACATGTTCAGCATGTTTCTCAGAAGCGTGTGTATTTGTGTTTCCTACTGCACTTTCATAACAAAAACTGAAACTAGCCTGCATTAATCTGGTGATGAACCAGTTAAATTAATTATAATGAAGTAGTATGAGCTGTTAAAAAATAATAAGGTAGATTTGTGTGCTGATATGGAAAGCTGTCCAAAATACATCAAGTTATTAAAAAAAAAAAAGGTCAAGGTCAAGTGTAGAACAATGTGCATAGCATAAGCTTATTTACAGATAAATAGTAAATAAAAGGGTATATTCTGTTCCCAACATTGAACATTTCAGGAGAAAAAACAAACAAGCAAACAAACAAGAAGTTCTTTCAAAACTTCCCTCTGTGGAAGGCATTACTTTTTTTTTGTTTGAATTTTTCATAAAGTATGAGGATTTTTTTGAGAGGTTTTTGCCTGAGGGCACCTGCGCTCGCCTGAGAGAGAGAGACAGAGACAGTGAGAGGGAAAGTGAGAGAAATCACCCCCAGAGGATGTGTCAGACAGCAATGTAACCACTATGCCATCTGCTGGCGCCAAGAATGTTTTATAAAATGAGTAAATAAATACTTATAAAGTTAAAAAAAAAAGTTCTGGCAACCGACAGATGGCCTAATGGTTCCATCACTGGATTACCGTATAGTTGACCACACATAGTTCAAGTCCCGGATCTGTTGACTTAAAACTCACGCTGGGTACGTGTGCATGCGTGCCCAAGATCCTGAGAGGAGAATGAAGGAGAAGGGGTTGTGCCGTGTTCATCACCCTTTGGGGGATGATTCTTGCTTTCTGTCTGTCTCTCTGGCAAGCACATGTGTCCTATAGTAAAAAATGTCTCTTTAAAAAAATAAAGTTCTGAATATTGCAGATTAGAATTTCTCTAGTATAGTTCATTATAAACTGAGCATGTATTAGATGATCACAAAATATCAAGCATTTTTAAAAGTTGGGATTTATACAAATACCAAGATGTCAAAAAAATCTTATAAACAGAATCTCACATTTGATAGTTTATTATAATGATAAAAATAGGTTATGATATTTGCTTAAAAATTGTATTTGTAGGGGCCAGACAATGGCACAGTGGTAAATGCAGTGATCTGTAAGGCTGGCCCACATGGAAAGGTTCTGGGCTTGAGTTTGGAGACCTTCCCTGAGTGTGGCCAGCACTCACATGCCCATGCTCTGGGGCTGGCTAAGACTGCAGGAGGGTGATGGCCTCGAGACTCTGTTGGGATGCTCCCATTCTGTCTCGCTTGCTCATGGAAGACATAAACTGTAAAACGCTACATTTTTAAAGGATAGGAGTAGTCTTAAAATAGACAATTACAGTAGTTTTAGGGTGACAGCAAGTTAAGCAGAAGGGGCAGATTTTTTTCCGGTATGCCCACTCTCTGACACATGCATAACCTCCCCTATATCCATGACCCCACCAGACTGGTACATTTGTTACAACTGATGGACCTTCATTGCCACATCATTGCCACTTGGCGTCCACAGTCTACATTAGGGTTCATTGGGGGGGGGACATTCCATGAGTTTGGACAAGTTTATGATAATATGCATCTACTATTATAGTTTTACACAGAGTAGTTTCACCACCCTAAAAATCATGTGCTTCACTTGTTCAACCCTTCCTCCCCCTAATCCCTGGAAACTATATTTGTGCCTTTTTTCAGAATGAAATGAACAGTCTTAAATTTAGGTTGAACTGAAATTTTTCTTCATTCTTCTGATTATTTTCCACTGGGTGGCAGCAAAGATTGAAATAATAAGGAAGATACTGGGTAAGAGAGTTCTTAAAGATAGAAAATAAACTTTAGATATGGCTTTCAGTTCCACACATGAAGACTTGGTCCGAGAGAGGTGGACAGAGTTGATGGAGATCTGCCCATGATCCTCACAGTGAGGTCTAAGTAGATGGATGGCAAGGGGGAATATAAAAGCAGAGACTTTGAGGGCAGAAATATTTGGGCAAGTTACTCTCTGTAAACCCTCACTGCTTCACCTGTGAACGGCTAAAAATCATATGCACTTCCTAGGTTTCTAGGAGGAAGAAAAGCAATCATGTGTTGTAAAGTGCTTTGCATAACCCAAAGCTTGTTACACGTTACTCACTCAATGGAGTTCCCTCTTTCCTTGTTTGGGACAGTGCTAGAACTAGAAACCCGGTTATTTGACTCTAAGTGTTGCTCTGTATCAATACCTTAGTGCCCAGATATCCTGAACTATGAAGAAGCGAAGACAAAATCTGAGAGCAACGATGACCATTATGATCATTCTGCACTGAGAGTTTTCCATGAATCAGGCTTAGTAAACATGGTACCATTTAATCATTCCAGTCAATGTTTTCTGCACCCTGGAAGTTCTCTGACCTCAAAAGTGGTAACGATGTCTCTCAGCTCCTCCATGCCCTACACAGTACCTCATGGAGGGCAGACATTCTTGAACTGATTTTGATAATATTTTATAGAGAAGCATTCATCAAAGTTCAATGCTTGAAGCCAGCCAGCTGGTAAAGATGGGCTAGAAGTAGAAGTTAGGGTTAAACCTCCTTCATTCCAAATCTTAAGATACAAAGCAAGAAAATACCAGCCCACATCAGCTGACTCAAAGCATTTTGGTGCATTTCACAGAGGCTCCCCATTGGTCTCTGGACAAAGTCATGGTCTTTGCTTAAGCCCCATACCATGCAGGGGAGAATAGAGAAGAGCAGAGACAAAAGATTCATACTGGATAGTTCACTCCTTCCATGCGTCCTGCAATTGAGCTCTTCCCTAAAGAACAAAACGTCCTACTCTCTATCTTCATGTTTTTCAGCTGTTGAGAAAATTGTTTCCACATCACTGAAGCAGCTGCTGATAAATATAGAAAGCTGGTGATTGGCACTGGAATTATTGCCAGAGTCAGAAATAGGTGAATATGGAGTAGCATCGAAGAAATAAAACCCACTAGCAACTTGCAAGTATTCTAGCAAGAACAATGACCAAATGTGAAGAAGAAGAAAAAATAACTTAAACACTTCCCCTAAGCCTTTTACTCTTAGCACTAAGAGCCAAGTGAAAAGCAGAGATTTAGCTATTCAATCTGTCCAAGTTAAACTACCATCCAAGTGCACTCCTGGTTCCATATTTATATCATTTTTTTTCAAAGCCAATAAATATCCTTAACGATAGGGACATTACCTCCTGTCTTCCTTAATACATCTTTTTTTTTTTTTGCATATGGCCATGACACTGGGCTTCAAAAATCAAAAAAATGAAATGTGCACATACCCTCCCACCCCACCCACACAAGTATTTAAGTTGAAAAAGGGTACATATGGCTTTTAGGGAAGGAAACACATATTCCCAAGCTAAGAGAGATGTCATTACTTGGGCAGCATTTAAGGTCCTGTCAATATGGGTACCAATGTTCTCTTTCAGAACTATTGGGTTGTCAGAAAAGTCATGACATATTTTTCTATGCAAAAATGTTCATGACTTTCAAAACGTCCTACTCTCTATCTTCATGTTTTTCAGCTGTTGAGAAAATTGTTTCCACATCACTGAAGCAGCTGCTGATAAATATAGAAAGCTGGTGATTGGCACTGGAATTATT